TCATTCCCACATTTAGTAAGTTGTGCCCACCAGTTAGTAAGTCGTTCCCACCAGTTAGTAAGTCGTTCCCACCAGTTAGTAAGTCGTTCCCACCAGTTAGTATGTAGTGCCCACAAGATACCTCTCAGGATCTTTCAGATCATTTTGGACAAGTTGTGTGTGTACTGAAATGGAAATACGTGACATAATTTTTTTTCCCAGTTTGGTCTGAAATACAAACACAGTGCTGCGTTGCTTGTTCTCTGATCGATGCTGCAGCTTGGTGACAGTCTCGGAGCCTTTCCACCCACGGTTCCCGGATGTTTACGGTTTCCCTGATAACGGAATAGTTTTGCTAAAGCTATACAGCTGTCTTCTCAGGCGTGTATCTCAAAAAATACTAAACAGATTTATATGGTTAAGCTAACCCTAACCTGTTTATTGTAGGCTACTTCCAGGAAATGTTTATTACAAAACAGAAAACAGCCAATTAAAGTTTGCAACATTTCAGAGCTCGAGCGGGGGCGCAGCTTCGATCYTCATACCGCTGATCAAGCACTGTGCCCCATGTCCCAGTTGAAGAGCAACCCACTGGGAGATATTCTACAATGGTTTCTTGGATGTTTACTCTCTTTCCTTCACAACAAAAGAGGGGACGAGGGCGGAGTGGACTCACCCGTTTTCAGGGCCCCTTAGTCTGTAAAATATGACATATGATATTTATTTATTTAATAAATAAAATCCAGATCATTTTGATTAAACTTTTAAAACATGTTTGAGCCAGAGGTTGCGCTAGAATTTTTGCTCTCTGTCATTTTGACCGACGGTAAGAAAAAAAATCTGTCATGATCAATTTTTACCCATCACTCTCTTTTTTAAATGATAATGAATAAACATTCATATGTGGCTATTTGTCATGTTGGTTTTGCAGTTTTGTCTCAGATGTGGCACCTGCAGGATTTTATTGGAGAAAATCTCATCAGTGCACCTCACACAAATACAGGCCACCTGAGTGCATGGTGCTGAAAAACAGTGCATCCGTCCCACACTAGGCCCAATGCGCACAATGTGACGCATACACACAATGTCCCGCTTTTGAATCAGTTACCTTACGAAAAGTAAAACAAATAAACAAACAAAAAAATTTGCAAACGTTATTTAGTGGTTTCAGTTTGCAACTTTATGCCTCCTTATTTCTGTCTCTACCTCCGTTGCAGGAGGAGGAGAGAAGACGGAAAGACATGAAGGCAGAGATGCAGTCAGCTGTTAATCACAATGCGCCGCTGCCACTGTGTTAAAATATTGTTAAATAAAAACAGAAGAACATGGATTTGATTTATYCAATAAAATGTGTAATAATTATCAAACTCTAAGGAAAATCTCAAGTTACACACAGTGAGTTTATATCTGCAGCGTCAGTGGTTCTGAAGACTAAACCCGCGCTCTGCTGTGACACTGTTGGAATAACAAGCACCACTTCAGCCAAAGTTTTAAAATACAAAAACATTTCTCCAGATGAAATGATCAGAAMTCAGCAAGACTTTATTTCCAAATCCRACAAGCWGTCGCTGTAGCAAGAGGAAATCCAGTAGCGCGCTCGCACTGCACCACTGGTTCAGCTGTGCCTRACAGATGTGCTCCAAAGCCTCCTGGCCTCAATGCGCTGTCAGCTCCTAGATCTGAGATGATGATCAGATGGGAATCTTTTATTTATTTTAGATTAAATAATACACCTCCGTGATGTAGACCTGCTCCATGCGTAAAGCTGAACATGTCTCTGTGTGTGAGTGTCATGCCACAGATCTGCTGTCTTGTGA